AGAGCCCTCACCTGCATGGACCCCTGCATGGAGAGGGGCTCAGACCCTGCCCAGCAGCTGCTGGGGTGGCAGAGGGGCTGGGACCCTCCAGCACCACCATTCTCTCCATTTGCCCCAACTCCAGCCCTTGTTCTGCTCCAACCTTTGCCTGCTGGGGATGGCGTTGCCGCCGGCCCCTGGGCAGCCACCATCCTGCCGGGAGGAGGAGGAGAGGGGAAGAAGGGGGGAAGGAAAAAAATGAATCCCCACAAAAATGTCTTCATAACAGGAAACGTCTCATAAAATACCTGTGGTTTGGCATGTGTGATCCGACTGGTCAAACTATGCACCTGGCAGGCAACCCTGCTATTAGTGCTGTGCAGTCTGGTATTTCAGGCGGGCTGAGGCTGGTGGGGAGAGGAGGATGGGACTGGGGAGTTCAGGGCGCACAAACCCTCCATGGGGCCGGATTGAGGGGCAGGACATGTCCTTTGAGTCCCCCTTGTCTCTTCACGCTCAGCTGATCCCCAGTCCTGAGGCTGCAGGAGCAAGTGGTGACATCCACCCTGTTGTCAGCGTCGCCACCGGATCCTGGCTCCTTGGCTGTGGGCAGCGTGTGCCACGGGCAGTGTGCTGGGCCGTGGGCACCGGGGGGCTGTGCTTTGCCATCTTTGCCATGCAGTGCCATGCCGTGCCGTGCCATGCCATGTGTTCCCTGCCATGTGTTCCCTGCCATGTGTTCCATGCCATGTGTTCCCTGCCATGCCATGCCATGTGTTGCGTGCCCCGCTGCGGGGCCGGCGGGTGGCTGCCTGCTGCTGGGGTGGGGTGTTTTTCTTTCGTCAAGGAAAATGTTTTCTTGTTCCCTCTGCTGAGGGCGGGCGAGGCTGGGGCCGTGCGGCGCGGACGGCAGCGCTTGGACGGGATCAGGTGTCGCGCCCTGAAGGCCTGGCCGGTGCCAAGACTCTCCCCGCGTGCTCGGGCGCTGCTCGGCCTGATGCCTTTGGCTTTCCAGCCCGGCCTGCGGAAACAACGTGCTCGCTCTCCGTCTCAATAGCTCACTTTTCGCTTTTGACTCATTTTATTATTATTTTTAAAGCATGTGTAGCGCAAGCGAAATCATCTACCTCCCACTGGAGTCAGTCCAGCCCCGTGTTGAGCTTGGAAAACCTCCCTGCTTTATTTTTTATTGCAAATGACCAGAGGATGGAGCAGCTCGACGGGACACGGCGGCGTCCAAACCCGCGCTGCTCCAGCCCACCCAGGGGCCCCGGTGCTCCTTGGGGCTTTATCTCTGCACTGATCGCCCGAGCCGGGCGGGTACATGAGGTGTCACCGCGCGGGCACACGAGGTGTCACCAGGTGGGCACACGAGGTGTCACCGGGCGGGCATACGAGGTGTCACCAGGTGGGCACAGGAGGTGTCACCGGGCGGGCATACGAGGTGTCACCAGGTGGGCACAGGAGGTGTCACCGCGCGGGCACACAAGGTGTCACCGCGCGGGCACACGAGTGACAGACTCACCTTGAGTGTCATT